TCTGTTATATTGTTTAAATCCTTTTTGATCAGTTCGTTAACTGTCGTTATTTCCTAGACGTTTTTTTGAGGGGAATTCTTCCGTTTGGTCATTTTGGATAGTCCCTGGAGTGGTGGGAACTGCAGGGCACTTCCCCTGTGCTGTCTTGAATAACTTGTGTTGGTGGGTGGGGCCGCAGTCAGACCTGATGTCTGCCCCCAGCCCACCGCTGGGGCCATAGTCAGACTGGTGTGTACTTCTGTTCCCCTCTCCTAGGGGCGGGATTCACTGTGGGGTGGCGTGGCCCGTCTGGGCTACTTGCACACTGCCAGGCTTGTGGTGCTGGGGATCTGGCGTATTAGCTGGGGTGGATCGGCAAGGTGCACAGGGGCAGGAGGGGCTGGCTCAGCTCTCTTATCCTTCGGTGATCCATTTTGGGAGGGGCCCTGTGCCACCGGGAGGGAGTCAGACCTGCCACCGGAGGGATGGATCCGCAGAAGCACTGGATCTGCAGAAGCACGGCGTTGGGTGTTTGTGTGGTGCAAGCAAGTTCCCTGGCAGGAACTGGTTCCCTTTGGGATTTTGGCTGGGGGATGGACGGGGGAGATGGCGCTGGTGAGCACCTTTGTTCCCCACCAAGCTGAGCTCTGTCGTCCCCGGGGCTCAGCAACTCTCCCTCCCGTTGTCCCCCAGCCTTCCCGCTCTCTGAGCAGAGCTGTTAACTTATAACCTTCCAGATGTTAAGTCCCACTTGCTGTCAGAACACTCCGTCCGGCCCCTCCGCTTTTGCACTCCAGACTCGGGGTCTCTGCTTGGCTGGCGGGCTGCCGCAAAGGTGAAGGAGTTCTATTCTGATACAGTATTTTCTTAGTGAAATAGGAAGCAAGGTCATTAGTTGAGAGGGCGTAAGAGGGAGGAAGCTTTGATGGTTTGAGAATAATGAAGAATACACACCAATCCAAAACATACTATGTGCTCTAGAAATATCTTTTTTCCCCCCTAAGGTGAGGTGACTTTTTTGGTCTTAAGAGTAAAGAGAAAAGGGGTGCCTGGGTGGCTCAGTCAGTTGGGCAGCTGACTACAGCTCAGGTCATGATCTCGTGGTCTGTGAGCTTGAGCCCTGCATCGGGCTCTACGCTGACAGTTCAGAGCCTGGGGCCTGCTTCCGATTCTGTGTCTCCCCCTCTCTCTGCTCTTTCCCTGCTTGCTCTCTGTCTCTCTCTCTCAAAAATAATAAACATTAAAAAAAAAAAGAGAAAAGGAAAATAAAAGGAAAGGAAAGAAGATAGGATGATGGGGGAGAAGGTAAATTGACCATTAGGGAGAGATTTGTAGTGACTCTGCAGTTATATATCCAGAAGAATTGGAATGTCACTTCTGTCTTTACTTTGCCCATATACTTCAGCTCCAGGGGGAGTATGTCTTAGAGAATGCAACTGGGTCAACTGGGTATGGTGAACATCATCCAGCTAGCTATGTCTTTTTTTCTTTTTTTAATTTAAATCCAAATTAGTTAACATGTAGTATAATAATGATTTCAGATCAGCTAGTTATGTCTTAATCGACTTTCTCCAAATTATCCACCCCATGGTCTTGGTAGGCTACTCTAGTCATACAGGGAGGCATCAGGCACCAATGTCTGCCCTTAAAGGAGATGCAGATGGTGTATGGCAAGTTCCACATGCTCCGCTCCAGTCAGACAAAGCTGGCAGTGCCTGCAGACAAATTCCTTTCTTGCGTGGGCTCTCCACTACCAGCTCCCAGGTGCAAGTTTGCTTTTGGAATGTTCACCCAGTTCTACAACACAAAGAGGGACTTTGCTTACCGAGAATGATGACAATGCTATACTTGATGGCCTTGATTTTTGCCTTTGAGATGAGCCCTCGGTTGTAACTGGTGCACAGCTTTCCATCTGTAGATACAAAAGGGCATTGTGAAATGAAATTGTTGCCAACAGGAACATCACAGGCTAGACCCACAGCTGTCACGGGACCACTTGTATCCCACTCACCTCTTCCCAGGAGGACCTCCTGGACATTTTCAGAGTAAAGACAGCTCTGGGCCAGATGCTGGAAACTGCTCAGTTTGCAACTTGATATAAAATGCAAATGCATCCGGACATCCAGACTCTCTCGAGTCATGGCTGAATGCCCTGAGTCAGCGGAAGCTAGAATTAGCCTTCAAACCCGGAATTGGCCAGGGGGCAATGCTAACATACCCATCTAGTCACTTTAGCAACTTAGGGTGAAATCATTGTCTTAGAATGGTTACCCCAAACTAACTCATACATCTAACTCAGAAACTCCACTCTCAACAAAAGCTCAAGCCAGGGATATTAAAAATAAAACAAAGACAAAAAAAAAAAAAAAAAAAAAAAAAAAAAAAAAAAAAAAACTGTCCCAAGTAGGAGCCTGGTTATAATTTAATTCTATGTGGGCTATTGTTTGATGGTAAATACATGAAGGATAAATATGAGTCCACTAGAATATGAACTTGATGGAGCAAGGACTTGGTTTTTTTACATTCCTGTATCCTCTAAGCTTAGTGAATGGTTAATAAATATTTGTTGAATCAATCAATATAAACCTCTCTCTCGTTAAAAAGTAGTGGTAAAATTAAAGTTGATTAGGGTGGACAGAGTTCAGAGAGATAGCTCTTAGTAAAAGGAGTGTGTAGATGGCAACTTTGGCATTGGAGGTGTTGGACACAGGGTCCATTGATGCTGTGGAGGAGTTTTTATTGTCAGAGCTTCTGCCAGGCAATAGGACACCTTTGTAAAAACTGGGAAAAGGTGCCTTCCTCTGCATGCACACAGCCCTGTCCCAGCATACCCTCAGTGAGGATGGGATGCCAATCCCACACATCCCTGGGATGCCACTGATTAGGGCTTGATGGGTACAACCCTGGCAGTGGTCCAGGTCAAAAGCCTACCCAGGGCCCCTGTCACATGGGGCAGGACAGTTGTATATTACAAACCAACTGCTGTGCTTGCTTGTCCTCACTACATTGTTCAGATTCCACATTTGAAATTTATTTTAAACCCATGGAAACTGGTGTGAAATTTACATTTGCACTTCTTATTCTAGCCCCTCTTCAGTCCAACCCAGCCCAATCCAAACAGCATAGCACACCTGTCATGAGATAAGGACCCCACCACGATGCTGAGGAGGCTGCGGGGCAGATGCAGAGATTCCAAAGGTAGAGCTGGGGGCAGGAAAGACTCATGAAACAGAGGGAGTCCTCAGCCAAGACACGGAAACAAGAAAATGTCGGATGTATTTGGACCATGGTGGAGTCACCTCACTTGGCTGGAGCCTGAAAGAATGTTGGCTTTGGAGTGGGGAAAACTGAGGCCAAAATGGGGAGACCTAAAATGTCTTCAAGAGGAGTCTGGTCTGAATTTCTGAGCTGGTCGCAAGCCTCTGAAGCTTCTGAGTCTTTTCACAGTGTGAGCATTTACTCACTGGAGTGAACAAACTGTTATCAGGAATAATAGGTATAAGGGGCTCTTTTATGGGCAATAAACTGAAATGCTAATTATAATTGATTTTTTTATTTCTTAATGTATACCTCGCAAGGCCACTCTCAGGTACTATTATGGCTTCCAATTATTCTGTGCTTTTCACAGAACCACAAGGCTTCAGTGGTGGAAGGAAGCAAACGCTTCAGAAGCATTTACAGCAGTGGATCTAAACTACGGGCAATATCGCTCCCCAGGGTTACATTTGGCTATGTCTGGACACATTTTTGGTTGTCTCGATGTATGGGAGGCTGCTAGCAGCCTCTAGTGTGTAGAGGCCAGGAATGTTGTTGAACATCTTAAGATGCAGAGGACAGCAAAAAAGAATTATCCAGCCGCACATACCGGTAGTGTCAAGGTTGAAAAACCCTGATTTCTAAGGTGGCATCCTGGGAAGGATATAGGCTTCAAGGTCAGAACCGATTACACGTTCCAGCTCTACCAATTACCAGCTGTGCAACCTGAGGCAAAATGCTGACCGTTCCCAGCCTCAGTTTCCCAATTTAAAAAATGAGGCATAAACACCAAAGTCAGAGTTTTGAATATTGACCTAAAATAATGTATTTAAGGTGTCAACCCTATGCTGAGAATATCAATTCTCTTATTAATTGAGATGAGTAAAGTTTTAACAGTATTTCAGGAGGAATATGAACCACCTTTATGGAAGTGAACAGAAGGTATTACTACATTTAGATAGTCTATTAGACAATGTTGTTACCTGTTTACAGGAATTATATACATCCAAAACTTATCCCGGAAGGATTTTACCCATGGGAGGCAAGTAAGAAATACAGCCGACCAAATTATATCCTTTCGAAGTATTCCCATTTGCTGGAGTAACAGCTGGCTTTGAAACAATATGGTTCTGAAGACTGTTTTTCAGAAAAGTTCTTGAGCATGACATTTGTACTCTGAAATCCTTTTAAAATGGAAACTTGCAGTACTTTCCAGGGGGCAACTGGGTGACAATATAATCAACTACCTGCCCTTTGATCTCCCAACGAGATCAGGGAAAAGCGTCTTTAATCTGACCACTCAGGGAAATGCAAAGCCTCCAGCTTCTCAAGATGGCCCTTCAAAGAGAGCTGAGCTACAAAATGCCAGTAATTCTCCTTTATTGAGAGATAAAAGGATTATTTCTACCCGGGCCTTGGCGCTGAGCTGGAGCAAAAAGCAGTTAAATTCAGCCATCTCTGAGCATTAGTAGCTGGGGTAGCCTAGAGGCAGCAGGTCCATGAGATTCGGACTGGAAGCGTCATGCTGCCTTAGGCAGTTTTGGTTCAAGCATGCATCCCTGGATACCCCACACTGTAAATTTAGTGTCTCAGGGGTCAGTTCCTGCTCTATACTTCCCCTCGCTTCAGGCCCCTTGCAGAGCCACGGGGAACCCTTTGTTCTTACATGCCGAGAGCTTGAAGGAGGAGCAATTGGTGTATTGGTGTAAATGAGACAGAATTTATTCCTGGCCGGAGAAGGGAGCCATCTATGGACTTACAATGAGTGCAAGTGATTTGTTTGTAACAAGGAAAGATGTTTTTATTTATTTATTAGGTTTTTTTCTATTTTATTTATTTTTTAAAATTTACATCCAAGTTAGTTAGCATATAGTGCAATCATGATTTCAGGAGTAGAATCCAGTGATTCATTCCCTACACATAGCACCCAGTGCTCATCCAAACAAGTGTCCTCCTTAATACCCCTTGCCCATTTAGCCCATCCCTCCACCCACAACCCCTCCAGCCACCCTCAGTTTGTTCTCTGTATTTAAGAGTCTCTTATGTTTTGTCCCCCTCCCTGTTTTTATATTATTTTTGTTTCCCTTCCCCTATGTTCATCTGTTTTGTATCTTAAATTCCACATATGAGTGAAGTCATATATTTGTCTTTCTCTGGCTAATTTCACTTAGCATAATACACTCTAGTTCCATCCATGTAGTTGCAAATGGCAAGATTTCATTCTTTTTGATTGCCAAGTAATACTCCATTGTATATATATACCACAACTTCTTTATCCATTCATCTGTCGATGGACATTTGCACTCTTTCCATA